GTTGTAGTAGGGCAACACCATCTCTGCGATGTTGTCAATGTCATAGGCTTCGTCGTCCATATCATGAACAATTACCACATTGTTACCGCGACAGAACTCCATGAATTCAGTAGCGTTGCTCCAAGCAATGTAGCACCCATAATTTGTGAGGATGTGTGGATGTCCCTGAATGAACCCCACCTTGTAGCCACGAGCATGAGGGTCTCGCGCGACATGTGAAGCGATGATACCAAAACCATCTCTGTCATCAAAGAGAGCCATGGCTGGTGATGTGAGACGAGCACTCAAAACTTGTCTGGCAAATGCATACTGTAAAGAACGTCAGTATTGACACACAAGCATTCAGTTGTATACAGCGATACGGACAGCGATTGTCACTTGGCTTCCCGACAGTGAAGTCACCAACGTCACGCCTGTCGCGATGGCGGATGTGGGGAAAAACATGGAAAACAAGGCGAATATCAACAGACACATTGCTATGCAAAAGGCGCATTTTACCGAGGCTTCGTGGTTTGTGAGTATATGGAGCGACTGTCTCATGAGGACTACCCTCACACAAAATGCAACAACCCCACTAATTGCTGTTTGCTTCTCACTCGGGAAATCTGCGGGCGGTACTCGGGAATTTTGCGTGTGGTGCTTGGGAAATCTGCGGGTGGTGCTCGGGAAATCTGCGGGTGGTACTCGGGAAATCTGCGGGTGGTAATCAGGGCTTTGCAAAGAGGGGTTTGTATCCTCATGTGAGACCATTTCAGGACTGCCTACAGTTGGACACAGGCTCTTCCTGTTGGCTACTCTCACTGGACCTTCGCCCTTGACGGATGTTCAACACCTCATTGATGTCAGTGATATACTTCTCCATGTGGTACTGGAGCTTCCCCCCCTTGTTTCTGCTATAATGTTGGGCGAACTGTTCAATCAGCATCTCAGTGAGCTCAATGCGCAAATTGTTCAGGATTGGCACCCCATCTTTGATGATAGCCACCTTGTCGCTTAAGAGTTCAGAGATGCTGGCGATGTTCTCCTCTGATGTTGTTCCGTCTTGAGTGCCCATGACCGACTTCATGGTTCGTAGCTTTGTGTCCTCCACACCATCTAGCAACTCTTTGACGCAGTTGTTTCCAGAGGTACAGCGGTTCTTGAAGACATTGATTTGGGCTCTCACATCGACGACGAAGGTCTGGAAGGGGGCGGGTGCGTTGGTGGGAGCATCCTCATCAACCTTCTCAAGGCGACGGTTGTAGTTTGCCTTGGTCTGCTTCAAGAAGCTTTTCAAGACTTCTTCGGTGATCTTTGGGCGGTTGCCCCCAAACAATGCACCCCCTTTGAGAAGCAATGTGAGGGTCATCTTCAACTTGGTGTCGCCCCACTCCATGCAATCCACAACGTGGAGCTCATTGTCCAAGCGCTCCCCATTAAAGGACAGCTTGAAGGACGAAGCATTCAATGGGCTTTGGGTTCATCTCCATAATCTGGGCAACCACCATGCCCTTGAACACTGCAACCCAGATGCGGGGGTTCTCAAGGGGCACGGTGAAGAGGAAATTGCCATTGGGTTGGTAGAGCAGGACTTTCACAGCGGGCTCGTTGGGCTTGTTAAAGTCAGAGGCATCCTGTAGGTAGCCCTCGGGAAAGGGTACCTCAAACATCTCAGCATAGACATCTACCTCGGAACCGCTCTCGTCGTCGGTTTTCTCTTCCTCCTCTTCCTCCTCTTCCTCCTCTTCCACCTCTTCCTCCTCTTCCTCCTCTTCCTCCTTTTCCTCCACTTCCTCCTCTTCCACCTCTTCCTCCTCTTCCTCCTCTTCCTCCTCTTCCTCCTCTTCCTCCTCTTCCTCCTCTTCCTCCTCTTCCTCCTCTTCCTCCTCTTCCTCCTCTTCCTCCTCTTCCTCCTCTTCCTCCACTGTGTTGCTAGAGATGTGAGTTCCACTTGTCAAGAATTCATTGTGCGTCTGTTGAACAGCGTCTATGATGTCATCCCACCGTTCAATGATGACATCAATGATGACAGCCTTCTTGGTCTGCATGGAACAACGGCAGACATAGCCGGCGTTGGCAAGTCCAACCAAGTCAGACTTCAGCCACTTCTCAATCTGACTTCTGCGAGGACAGAACAACTTGGGGTCCTGCCAAGCGGAAATGTCGGTGTTCATGTCAAAGATTTCGCCAGCTTGAGAGTAGTGCATGCGAACGACGCCATCCCGAACAAAGAAGCAAATAGGAGATGCCATCCTTGGGGCTTTCACTGAGTAGAAAAGGTGCTACATCACCGGATGTTGAACAACATGCTGAAACTCACTCATGTCAGGCTGAAATTGAGAGCACACATGCGCATCTCCTTGACAATAAACAAGCCAGTCGTGCCTTTTTGTAGATGGTGTTGATGAAGCCGTGGCACGGGGTAGAAGCACGACCAAGTTAGTGGGATGAACGAACCCGAAACCAAATGCACCACCAACACCCCAGAACTTGATAACTACTAAAAGGGCCAACTCTTTCAAATGAAAAAAATGTCGGCCCCCAGCCCAACAATGAACAAGGCGACAATTTACCCAAGTGATTACCTTAACGAAAACGATAAATAAGCTCCCTAAAAACCCTCTTTAAAAAACGAATAAGGTGGTTAATAGGTTTGAGATGAATATAAAAAACACAACAGGGGACCATCAACAGACCACCCCCCAGGCCCCCTACTTTTACCATTTTTTAGGGGAGGGGAGGGGAGGGGAGGAGGAGGGAAGGGAGGGAGGGAGGGGAGGGGAGGTGAGGGAGAGGGGGAGGGGAGGGAGGGGAGGGGAGGGGAGGGGAGGGGAGGGGAGGGAGGGGAGGGAGAGAGTGAGAGAGAGTTCTACCAAGCTGAGTTGCGTCTGAATCAACGGAAGAAACAAAACAGTAACGAGGCCGTTTGTGCCTTAGCATCTCAGCCTACCAGAAGCTCTTATGTGTCGGAGCAGGGATCCGTCCAGCTTGCTCTGGAAAAGTTGACCTATGGGCATCCAAGCCCACATCGAGGGGAAAAGGTCGCGGAACCCCCAGCACTAGCCTCTTCAAAGCGGTTGAGCGCCACGAGCGTGAAGCCGTAGTCCACATACAGCATCCAAAGGTTGAACCTCGGCGAAGATTGAAAGTGACATGAGACTTGAACCACTCCTTTCGTTTAATGTATCCCTGATCGCGGAACTGCGTTTGGGGCTCAGGGTTAGGTTTTGTGGGATTAGAATGAAAGATTGAAACCGCAGCACACCACCTCAAGCCATGCCCAATTCTTGGAATGGATCCTTCAAGCAAATATCGAAAAAGGGCGGGGCGTCCATGTTCGCCAAATCAATCTTAAAAAAAACGTGGGTGTCCTTGAGGTTTCTCCTTGCGACACGATCCGAACGGGGCCTGTTCGAGCGCGAACCTGACAAATTGGCGTCTTTCAAAATCGTGGACCGATGAAAATGGTTGGCTTCCTGTTGGTGTCAAGGCCCCCCCAATTATTTTCTGAAAAACATTGTTTTTGCCGGAAAATGTGCGCAAAGTCCGCCTTTGATGTCCCTGTGAGAAGATGTTATGACTTTTTTGATAAAAAAAAACATAAAAAAAAAAAAAAATGCATGGATTCAGCCCAAAACCTTCTCGACCAATTTCCCGAGCGCCCGGGCGCTGAGAAGCCCACACCGTGCCCGCGCCTCACCGCACGGGGCTGTGGCTTAGGCTGGCTATGGGCTTTGGGTGTCCTTTTTTGCCCAGCAAACCGTCCAAAAAGCTTTGCCCGGAGTTGCGCTTCCGGAAACAGCGGAAATCCTCAAAATGAGGGCAGTGAAGTGGCTTCATGGGAGGTCTGATGGTTGCAACCAAAATCCCTCGCCCATTGGCAACAGGTGGCTGTGTGTCAAAACTGGGAAACGTTGTACGGGGGAACAAAACGAGCCATTCTTAGTTACCCTTTTTAAACATTACCCAAAGGGAAAGTCTCTCCGAGTGGCCCCAAAAGGTGATGTTTAAGACTACCCTTTCAGGGAAACCATGGGTGTGTCTTTTCCTGGGGGTGCCTTTCTTGTTGTGGCTTGAATGGAAACCAAAGGGACAACCATCATCTTAGGGCTGCATATAAGGAACTCTCGGTTGGTGAATTGACCGAATTCACCAAAAGGAACTGCGAAACCACAAGCCGAGCTCAGCGCAGAATCTTCTCGAACCGCTCCAGCGCCATCTGGTAGCGCCCAGTCCTGGGCTGACAGGAGCCGCATGCGCTTGTGGCTTCGAAAGGTGCATCCTTTGTCTTCTCAGAAGCATGGCGTGTTTGTGTGTGTGTGTCTCTGTGGAAAGGCATATGTGCAAAATATGTATGCTTGTGTCAGGATTATGATAAGCGAGTTAACCGACATAAAAGACTGGATTGAAAGGCATCACCAGACGTTCCATCGCCATAGTCGTGGTGGCTCCCAAATCGCGAGTGGCAAGTGGCTTGTGTGTATGTGTGGCTTGAAGGTAGTGAGGGTCGCAATGCTGCCCTCCGTGAGAATTAGCCGCCTGGATTTTGTGAGGAAATTGGGTGGACCCAAACTAACGACAGACTGCGACAACTTGTTGGCCCAATCCCAAGGTACACCAAAAATATGCTTTTCAGATTCCCTCCCATTTGCAGTCAAGCGTAAAATAGTATGGGAGAAGATCCCAGGTGAAGTCAGCTTCTCACAAGTTAGCTTGACTGCTTGTCAGATCCCTTGTCAGAATCTAAGCCGCATGGCACCTGAACATCGCCCGACCTGCGAACCCAGCTGTTCCTGGACTCATGTTGCATGGCCTGCCAGGTGCTCGGCCATTTTCGCCGCTGCGACTTACGACTCAAAACCAGGAACCCATGAAGATGATCAATTCCCTGTTTTGCTTGTTCAAACTCATCCCAAAAAGATCCTGGCTTTGACACAGCCCCAATTCCGCTGAGGCTTCTGCATCTTTGGCAGGAGCTTGGCGTGTCACTCTAGTTGTCAACCGATCACATCGCCTTGCAATCACCTGCCAGACAGGATGCATGCTCAACTGCGTAAAGAGTGCGGGCATCTCAGCTGTGAGAAATCCCGTGGATATGTGTTTCATTCGGAACCCTTTGGTGGACATCATTTATAGGCAATCACTCACCAGTTGTGAGTTTGTATTCTGCTCTTAAAATTAAACTCGCTATATGGAAGCAGAGCTTGCCGCATAGCAAAGAGACTAGAGGCAAAGCAAGCCTACAGCGGCATGAAACACGAGGCAGACTGCATCAGAAAATCGACCACAACTTGTGGCATCAATGTGCCTTCTTGCAGATTCAAGCAAGATTTGGCTGTGTACGTCAATGGAAGAACCTCTCTTGCGTTACTTTTAAAGGACAACCCGAAAATAGCCAAGTTGAGCCAAAAGAATAGCCCGTCACTTTTTGCTTGGAATACATTCGAATGCCAACATACCAATATGGCTCGGACATGTGCGTATCTCTCTTGAGGCTCCCATGCGCCTTCGGCGAGCCGCATGGTCCCAGTACTCCGCGCCTTCGAGTCTCTGTGGGGTGCGTAAACCATGCATTTGAGGCTTGGTACTGCTTTTTGTGGGAAACTCCAGGCAAACCAAAGCCATGACCCAAGAGCCAAAAGGACTGGTGGTCCCAATCCAAATCCGGATTTCGCTAACCTAAAATCCTGATCCGCATTTGGCCGGGCATTTTCCAGGCATCTGCTGGGTCATTCTCCCAAAGCGGATGCGCAAGCAGTCAAGCCGCCTGGCAGTGATCTGGGTCGCTACTCAAACTGAGGACCATCAGGTGCAATGTTCACGCGTGTTGCCTCTCTGGGGGTGGGGGTGGGGGCGGGGGGGGGCGGGGGATTTTGGAAAACGCTCATCTAGAATGTCTGATAGATCAAGCGATACAAAACTCCCCAGTGACCCCTTACCCTCCCCCAACAAGCCTTTACAAAAAATGGTCTTCCTCAAAACCCGACCGGTCAGGCTCCATGTTAGTTGGTGGGAGGGTGGCAGGTTACAACAGTAGGCAAAACTGGGGTCAGCTGAAATATCGGCATGATTCTTTACCCGGGGACCCTCTGATGGACACCATTTACAGTAGGTGGGGATTCGTGTCCACCAACCACTTTTGAGGTGGCTCCCTAGTAAATATCATATCGGTTTGGTTGTGACCCACCCAATGGGTTGGAATGTTGGAAGCCAAGAATGTGAGTGAAAGGGGCTGAATGACATATCATTAATATGATTCTTACGACTGGCTCTTAAGGATCCCACCCCATCCCTTGGCTTCCCACACTCCGATTCGATGCGACTCTGCAAACCTCGCCTCGCTGCTGCGCGCCAGGGATTGTCCGCAGCCAGGCTTGGTACTCGCCATGCAGGCTGGAGCTGCTGGCCTCGGGGAAAGCCGAAGGCCTGGGCACGGAAAACGCAGCTCTGCTTGGAGCTTTCCAGTGGTAGGAAACATCCAAAAGGGGAGCAGCCACCACTTATTTGATGATTTGGAGTAGTGGTTGGGGGGGGTTGGGGGGGAGGCTCAACAGAGAACGAGGCCTCAGCGCAAGAAAATGTCTCAGCGCGGGAAAAGATCTTGATTGGTTCGTTCTGGGGGAGCTTTCTGGACAAGGTTTCTCCTTGCATCCACGATCGAACATGTCCAGTCACTGCCCCGATGATGGGCAACTCTCGGTTGTGCCGAACCCCAGACTTGCTGCATGAATGCACTTTCTGAGCCCCAGCAACCCGTGCGCTCGGGTCAGATTGCGAGCCAAGTGGCCCCATCGCGAATAAGCTTGATGTAGCGCTCGGGCGGGTTTGGGTATGTGGCAAGCCTGGCATGTCCGGACTGACAAATCCTTCTTTGGGAAATGAAGGATTCTTGGGTGGATACCTCTGATTTGATTGGGAACCCAGGCTCCCAAACCCCTGGGCCCTTTAGAGGAGATCCTTCACTTTTGCGGGAACCACCCCCGAATCCGCGGGGTTGATTGTGGGTGACGAATCCGCGGTCGACATTCTTGGCGGGGAAAAGTCCGATGGAAACATCTCGTCCAGCTCCAGGCGGTCTCGCAAGCCAGTGTCCCATGCCCCCGACCAGGGTATCACATACCGGCTATACGTTTGCAAAACGGTGGACATGAATCACTGGCAGGCTCGGCCTGGCAGGCCCAATGATGCTGAAAGTCGTTGGATTGATAGCGACGACAGTGTTGCAAGTATCGGTGAAGCGTATGAGTCACAATGAAAACCTGGGATTGAAGGAGTCTACCCGGTCTACGCGAGTTCTTTCAGGACTTCTGCCGGGCATGTTTTCGGTCAGGGTGAATCGACCAACTCGCTGTTTGTACCCCGGCCCATTGCGGGGGGGGTTGTTGAACACCAGTGGGTTGGTCTGAACATGAGACAACCCGCAAAAACGGGTCCTCTCCCTTCAGGCTCCCTTCAAACCGCTTCCAGGCTTTTGAGCCTCTTCTCAACGCGCTAGCCAGCAACCCGCCTGTAGTCCTTGGGAGACACAAAGGCGCGAGCGCGAATGACCCGGCCATCGTAGGCTTCCACCTCAACCTCCGTCGTCACGTATTCGTGCTCCATCTTGGACCTGGGCTAAGCCGGCAAATCCCTCTGAGGGTGCGACCTGTTGTTTCTTCCAAGCTCATTACACATTTCAACCATCTCCAAAAGCAGATCGGAACATAGGGCACCACAAAGAATGCGTGGTTTCTTTAGGGTGTCCCTTCAAACCTTACCCAAAAGAGCCCGGTTGCCAAGCCACAGCTTCTCAAAGTCTGGAGGCTTGAGCAGCAGGAGCAGCCTTATGCACTTGACACAAGTTGATGAAGACACCAACCCACCAAAACTTCAAGGTGGGCCAACCGCCAACCCAACAAACAAACCAAAACATAGAGCAATACCTGACAAGGCGGGGAGAAGAGCGGCAAAAGGCTGCTTCAAACAAAATATGTTTGTCTTCTCTCCTGCAATCATGACTAAGTTGGGTTTAAGAGTGACCCACAACCCCATTCTAAGTAATTCGGCATTTAGGCTTCTGAAGTGTAGAGGCCCTGTCAAAGCCCAAAGGCCTTTCCCCTCGGTCCTTTCCAAGCTGCCCGTGCACCGCCCCCGGATCCTCGCCCTGCGCTGTACACCGCTCCAAAGGCTCGATGTTGCCCATGCCGCCTTTGTGATTGAAGACCTGAGGTCGACGATGCTCCCTTGACCGGGAGCTGAGTGTCGCGTTGTTGGGGGGGGGGGGGAACGCTGCCTCAGTCGGCGGAGTTCCTCGGGCCCGGTTCCGTTTTGTTGCTCAAAATAGGGAACCCTTAAGGATGGTTGGTTTTCCTTTTTTCCCCCTTTAATCTGATTTACAGTCGCGAAAAGGGGGCGTCCTCAACCTGGTGGGTTGCTGCAAATTCCCCTGAAGCCAGGTTGATTCATCTGCAGCCAGCATTACCGTCGCCTTTGGAACCCATCCAGTTTCCCGATTTAGTTGAACCACCCCAGGGTCAGGATTGGCAAAAGCATGGTACCCTTGTTGCGCCCCGACTTCTATGACAGCGAAACAAACACGTCATAATGTGCCAAAACCGACCAGGCCCTAATTTGTTGAAACAGAAAGTTCGTCGTGTGCCCCAAAAGTCGAACTTAATCCCCGCAGAATCCCCAAAGTCCAAAGTTGGAAGTCGGTTCCAAAAGCCAAGGGCGCCCTCGCCCGATTGGGCACCCGGCCAGTCGCCAGCCTGGAAGTTTCCCGGGCACCTGCGCACCCCAAAGATCCCCCCCGGTTGTTTTGGACCTAGTTGTCCTCGTTTGCCGCCGGAAATGCAATAGCCGGGTTCCCATATTTCCTACCAAGAAAAATTATCAGAATTTGCACAGTTCCCCAATGTCTATGCGAGAGCCATGGCGCCTCCAAACGACGCTATCATTATTTACAAATCATTTCGACCCAGGATTAATCAGGGTGGTTCCCCAAGGTGAAAGATCCTGTCTTTGAGGGGACACCCCTGCATTAATCGACCAGGGGGTCTTTAGGAGTGTCTCCCATCTTCCGGGAATTGCACTGCATGCCAATGCACTCCAGACGCCTCAACCTGACCGTCGCACAGACAAAGCCTCCAAATTGGGTTCCCTTAAAAAGAGCAGGGGGGGCGTCCCCAAACAAAGGTGCGTGGCTTGTGCTCCGCCTGCTCCAGCGGGGCGATGCCTCGCTTCGTGCGCAGCTTCCAGGGGCTGAGGTTGGCGCCGAAGGCGAAGTTCCAAACCTTGTCAGATAGGCAAAAGGATTCGTTTTAGGCCATAGTGCTTGAAATATGTCTAAACAAGGGATTCGCCCAACGGCATTTAGGGTTGTATTGTTTGAGGCTGATCCTTTTTTGTTGGAAGGGAACACCGCCCTTCTTCTTGTTTTTTTTTGGGGGGGATCTCTATGCATGATCTCCCTTTAAAGGAGGCCAGAGTCTCAACCAACAGCGCGCCCGGTTCTTTTCGGTGGGCGTTGAAAGGAAAGCCTGCAACAAAAATATGGATTCAGGGGCCAATGCCAGTGGTTGGCGCCAACCCACAACTACGCCGCCCGTGGCATGAATTGAGCCACAGATACCTGGAACTTTGTCGGCTCAAGATGCGGTGGCATTGCTCTATGCACATGCAATTTCTACAATTGTGAAGCTGAAATACTCTCCCACTGACCTGGAACATGACTGGGGTTTTGGAAGACCACTTTCCTCCAAGAGAGATCCTTAGACAATTACAATGTCACGTGTAAGCAGTGCCAAAAAGGCTCTTGACCTTTAGTTTTACCAAGATCAGGTACTAGAACCATGCGAGTTTGTTCTCCCCAACTGCTTGGCCGCCAGTGCATCCAAGAGGCTCCTTTCTTCTCTCGGGAGGACTCTGCCTGCAAGGCTCTTCTTGATGCGTCCTCAAGGAGAACAACCCAATGGTCGCTCTGAACAGCGCCCCGAAATGGGGACCCTCCAAAAGACAGGCGCGCGGAAAAAAGCGCCTGAGAACACCTGCCAAAATGGCTGAAGTGAGCAGGGAGCTATCAGTGTTTACATGATGCTCAGTACACCCGCAGGATGCACTTGCCATTGTTGAAATACGTTGAAGCCATTTTTGCTTAAACAGCCTCCTTTTGGACTCCCTTTAAAGAGAACCAGGGCCTGGCCGTGTACTCAGCTGCGAATGAAAATCCAAAAAGGAGGGGCCAATTCCTCTGAACAGGATGGCCTTTTGGGTCCATGGGAATCTACAGGAGTGTCAAAATTGGCGCAAGGAACGTCGCTTGCCACCCCACCCCACCCAAAAAAAATGCCACACCTTGGCGGCCGGCTTGTCTTCTGCAAAGCTGCCAATCGCAGGAGCCTGGAAGGCCTCCAGCCAAGCGCATCCCAGGAATTCTCTCAATCTGCTTTTCAACCAGCCTGCTTTTTGGGGCCCATGAACCGAAAGTCAAAATGGAGGAGCCCAAAAACCGGTTGGGCCCGGAAGAACGGGAATCACCTCTGAAAAGCTTGCCCTGTTCATAGGAAAAAACGGGCCCTGCCACGTTTGATTTGGCATCCAAGGAACCCAACACTGTATAAGGAGTTTGCTTCTGGTTGTATGATGGCTTTGATTGGAAACCTCTTCTGTACCTCATGTCCACTACTTGTAGGTTCCGTTCGCCAAAAATCAAACCTCTTTGCACGTGGCTGTTTGGGATGTGTTTGGGACGAAGGGAGCTTCCATTTTGGAGCCTTCCGCGCCTGGAAGAGGGGGACTTGGGAGCTGACAAGCGCCTCCCCAGCAATGGCCTGCGCTGGATGCCCGCAACCCCGGTTGGCCGCGCGACAGCGACGGTGTTCTGCGATCTATCGATCTTTGTTCTGCTTATCTCAAGGCAAGGGCTCAGCCATTTGAGCCCCCCAAACCTGGGCTGGCATTCTTGTTCCTTTTGGGGGCTGCGAAACATCGAGCTGACAAGAAATCGATCTGACAGGAAATGAATTGGGGGAAGGGATTCTCTGAGAGGGTGTCTTTTTCGGGAACCCGAAAAGAATTCATCAACCCCAAACACCCGAATCAATTCTAACCGTCTATACCCGAATCGGTCTTACCTCTCCAAACCACAGACCCTAACATGGAACCCACCAGAAGGTGCGCTTTAGTGGTCCAGGGATGCCCTTTGTGAGCAAAATGGGTGAGCGCTTCGGTTTTGGTGGGAAAAAGTGGTGCCTCCTCTCTTGTCCTTCCCAAATCAAGCAGCAAAATCATGTGGCAGTTCGACCGAGCATCCCCCGATGGGCTCTTGTGATCGGATCGCGACAGGCAGCCTCCCCCATGGCCAGGCCGCTGGCAATCGCGCCCTCCACCGACGGTGCCGCCAGCCAATCCCCGCCTCGGAGTGTGGTATCAATTTGTTTCATGAAGACCTAGCATCATTTGACGGATAGACCCGTTAAGAAGGGCCCAGGTTCACCCCCACTGCTTTAGTGGTGGAACCCTTTTGTTACAAATTGGATTCGACCAATGCCAATTCCATGTAAAGAGTCAGAAGGGTGGCCTCACCTATTTATGGCTGGGACTGTTAGCTGCAACTCTTTATCAACCCAGGTTGCTGTTTCGGCCAATTGGAGGTCTCTAACAGCTTAGATGGCCCGGGAGTCAGCTACATTGCTCGTGAACTTTGTTTGTTACAAGGGCTGACAGGAGGTTAACTGAGGGTCAACTGGGCGTCAATCGGAGGGTTGCCAACCAGTTAGCCAACTCCTGGAGCATCCAAGGGGCCCGATTTTACCTTCGAGTGGTAGGCTAAAGAAAAAGAACCCCAGTCGACTTCGATTGCCCCCAAAAGAAGTCAACACATTGGGCCCAGTCCAAAAAGCGCTAGTGGGGCAGGGAAGCGGGGTACGGCCAACATTGTACAGAGTCTGGAACCAAACAGCCCAAAAGCTTCGGAGTCGCAAACCTTGGCGCCCAACAAAAGCGAGCCCATGGATTAGAGATGGATTCTTGATGTTCCGTTGGGACAAATGAACGAGGTCAATGTGCTTTCGTCGAACAATGGGCCACGTCGATTCTGCTTGTTTTGTGGATTTCGCTTTGTCTGAAGATACACAGCAATCAGGGAGAAATGGACAGAGGGTTCCCAGTCACTGAAGTCCGGCTTGAAGCAAGTACTAAAACATCATGGATACCCTTGACCCAGGCTCATGCGAGCAACCTCCTCTTTGGCTTTGCCTGCAAGGGTGGGGGTGTCCATGGCTTTCACTCTCGCGATCATCCAACTTTGAGCAAAACAACCAAGCCGCTGTTCAGAAGTATTGTCATTTCGCACAATAGCTGCGGCGTTTTCACATTCCTGGTGGTTTCCACTGGCACAAGCTCGTGCCTAGGGCGCCGGCAGGCGCCGATATTGGCCTCACAAGCACACACATTTATGGTCCCCAATTGATCACTGGTGGGTTCCATCCGTCAACCCTGGATGAATACACCCCTGGCTGAGGGGTGTTCCTACCCTGCGAGCATTCTATCGGGGCTCGCTGCATTTCCCCTTAAGCATCACCCCACTTAAAGAAAACGGGCCCAAATGGCGACGTTCAAATCTGCCAAGCATTGAAATTTAGGAATCCCTGTCTGGGATGAAATCTACCCCTGCTTTGCCAGTGCTTCCGCTTCAAGCTCGCCTCGGCGTCCAGAAGGAAGCCTTGCTTGCACACGTTCAACGGCACCGCCGCGCCCCAGAGCTGCAAGTGCAGAACTCGACACCTGCGTCGCAGGTCTGTGTGACTTCCTCAAAATGAGCTGCGTAAATCCTCACCAGATAGAATCTCGCCCCGTGCTCCCAACAGGGACACCGATTGTTGACAAAGCGCAAGACACAAATTGTCAGTACACACCAGGAGTTTGGTCCCTCCACACCTGGACAGGCACCAAGGCAACGCAAACAGCAACCCACTTCTATGTTTTGTGCAGGGGCTGCGGATTGGGGTTCCGAGCGCACCGTCGTGCCGCTTCAAGAAAACCCTGTGACTGGTAATTGTGCAGTTCTGCGAGGCTGGGCCAACCCCATACTTATACACACATGTTCAAATTGAACACCCAAGGTTTAAACAATCTGTGTTGAATCCTTTTAAAAGTGGCCAATGCCTAATACTGCGAAAACGACAACGAGTGCTTTGTAGCCCTGATGACACAATGTGTCTGAGATTGTGCCATCCCCATGACTCTTCAAAGCACCACTCTGGTGCTACTGAGGCCTTATTCGCAAAACGGTGCCTCCTTTTTGCCGTATAAGGGTTAGTGCCAAAATGGGAGGATTGCCCAGCTCCACTGGGCAGCTCCCCTCAGCAGCTGATGGGAGTAGGATTGATGCCACTCCCACAGCGAGGGAGGAATCCTCCCACCTCACCGGATGCCCTCCCGGCATCATGGGTGAGGAAGGAAAGTAGCGAAGATCAGTGTGATCAATTCGCTTCGACTGAGGGGAAGACCCGGTTCTCAGTCGGAAATTGCGGGTCCGGATGAGTAAGTTCATCCGCCCACGTGTTAAAGTCGCGCTTCACATGCGACGGCCCCAACATGACCTGCTGGTCATGCAGCGTTAGCACAATTTCCATGAGGATGGCCGCATTGGGCATCCTGCGAGTGGAATCGTTAAGAAGGGAGAAAACATTTCCCTGGTTATCACGAGCAACCAGGATCCTAGTGTGAGAAGCCGAGCCGGCTGCACAAAGCAGAACGGCCCTCACCAAAAGGAGGAGGCCGAAGAGCTCCAAGGCCGCTATCGCCCGCTGCGGGTCCCCAGTAGTGAAGGCCCACGGCTCGCCCTCCGGTGTGATTCTGTGCTGGAACCACTTCACACGGGACTTGTCGGGGTTGGGCACGTCCGAGCACCAACCACCAACCCATGCATGGTCTGCCTGTCTGCCAGCTCCCGCATCAGATGCCCCCGTCCATGGGAGTGTGGGAGCAAACGGAGATGCCAGTGGGAACCTCTGGTTGAAGAGTCTCCCCAAAAGGATGGCCAGAGCACGAACCAGCTTCGGTGGCCTGCCCGAAGTGGTGCAGGCCTTCTTCCAGCTCCAAAAGGGCTGGAGGAAAGGTTTCGTCAATGGGCATGCCGAAGTAGCCCATTGAATACGGCCTAGGGCTTGTTCCACCTCCTTGCTGGTGAAGATGTCCCCCTGGGCCAGCCGTTTAAGAGTGGCCAGGATTATGACGTGTTTGACTGGAGCCAGCAGTACACAGGGCGTGATTGGGTCCACCACAAAGCCCAACCAGGTATTGATCGGGGAGAGCGCCGTCTTTTCCAGGAAAGCGGGACTCCCAGCGCCAGCAGTGTAGCCAGGATGGCTGTGGCGTCCCAGTCCGCCCGGCTGCATCTGAGGACCCAGCAGTAGTCGTCCACAAAGACTAAGTGCCAGTCCACCTGAGGGAAGATGTAGTACAAGAGTCTGAGCACCAAGGATGCCTTTCTTCCCCAGTACAGTTGTGCCGAGGCCATGCCGTACGTGCCCACTCTGTTGACCCACCACCGGTTTTGGATGCAGGCCACCTGGTATTTCCAGTCTTTCGGGAGCACTTTTATACGCCTGTGGGCCTTGGTGACATCCGCCTTGAGGATGATGAAGGTTTCCCCCTGTGTCGGCGGCTGCCACATCAGGGGTTCCCCCCTGATCCCCCCAGGGCGTTCCGTGCCCGGGGGGGTTGGGGGGAAGGGGGCCCTCCTATCAGGGCCCTCGGCACCTGGGAGTGGTCCCTTCCCTGAGGGTGTCGACCCCAGAGAGACGTCCAGGCCGCCGGAGGTATCCATCATCCCCCTGCCCCGATCAGGCCCCTCGGCCCTGGGGGGCAGGCTGGTGCTGTGGGGGTCCCTCTCAGGGCCCTCGGCACCTGGGGACTGCCCCTGCACCGGCTGGTGAACATCCCGAGGTCTCTCCTCAGTGCTCGAGAGCGTGGCTCGAAGTAGATGGGGATGGTCCGTCGCTGTCCTGAGCCAGTGGATGGCGTGGAGGCAGTCTCCAACCATCGGTGCAGTGGTCTTCTCCCCCGTATGAGCCTGGATGTGTGCGTTGGCTCCCCCTTTCGAGCCATCGTAGATCGTCCTGATCTTGTCTGACTCATCAATCCCCGCAAGGGGGCCCGGGCAAAGTTCCTCCGGTTTGCAGCGGCACCTCTCTGCCGCCTCCGACCGGGTGAAGGGCCCGTCCACCATGTCCAAGGCTCGTTCCTCGTAAAAGGTTGCCTCGATTTCACTGGCAAAGAGTTCAGCCGTTGGGTAGTTATCATGGGCCACCGGCGGGGGGGGGTCTTCCCCCAGCCAGGCTTCTCCCTTAAGCTCCTCCTTAGTCGGCCAAACTCCGGGGGAGGTCAAGGTAGGGTCCGAGACTCCCAAGGGGACCCCCTCTTTCAGTGTCAGGGGGAACTCCCAATCAGGGTCACCTGAAAGGGATGCCAAGTGCGAAACTAGGTCCAGGAGGAAGGGTTGCCCTGGGCATCGTTCATGGAGGTGCCTAGGTCCCAGGATAGCCCGCAGCTCATCGAGGTCGGCTTCCTGGAAGGGGTGTGTGGTGGCACCTGATGCCAGGGACATTCGGACCTTGTCAATCCAGGGCCGGGTAAGGGTCATGATCAGGGCGCCCAAAGTAGCCAAAGGGGAAATTCTCCGAAAGGGGGGGTTGAGCCTCCCCGGGGAAGGTTTCCCCCCCCCATCCCTCAGGGGGCGTGAGCGGAAACCCAATTGGACAATCGCAACTCGGTCAATGAGGCGTGGGACCCTGAAAGCGGGCAGGCATTCGGGGCGGTCCAGGACCTGGTCCCCATGTTCTTCCTTCCCCAGTTGTTCCGCATCTCCGGCCATCGGGGGCATGGGAGATGGGAAGTCTGGGTTCATTGTTCCACGAGGGCTTACGGTGTCTGCCTCAAGGTGGATGTGCCCGTGCTGGCGGGGCTTCGGGGCATTCTTGCCTCCGGGCTTTGGGCCCTGGTGTGATGAGGAGGGACCGCCTCCCTGATTGGGTCCCCGTTTCCCCCGGGGGGAAGGGCCCTCCGGGGGGTCCGACCCCCGCCCCTTAGGTGGTTCCTTAGGGTTTCCCGGGAATTGTGAGGGGATCCGGATGTGCCCCGGCGCTGCGAGTGACACAGCGATGGCTTTGGCCAGGCCTGCCATCATATCCCAAGGGTATCTGCTAAGAGTCGAGGACTCGTTGGTGCCCACATGTGACTGATGCGTGCACCGCATTTGATCCCAATCCTGAATTGGGAGATCCGTGGCTAGCGTAGTGGCCTTCTTGACCAGCTGGCCCAGGCGGCACTGGTCGAAGGAGATTGCTGTCAAGGAGTTTTCCTCCATCCAAAGCTGCCCCTCCTCCGTGATCCAGAAGGATGAGCATTCCTTGGCTTTGGGCAGCGAGCTGCTCACCACTGGGTCCTCCGGGTGCTCCAAGAAGGACTTTGGCCCTGGCAGAGAAACCGCCGCTCTTGAGGCCCTTGCCAGGCTGGTGATGTACATCTGCCTCAAAATGAGGATACTGTCATCATCAAGCTGAGTCTGGGCGGCCTGGTCCAGGTGTGGGAGGCCCCAAAGTGTCTCTCGAGTGCGCCCTCGCACCGGGGTGGGGGCCCCCGGTTTTGGTATGTGGCGCAGGATGGACCATGTCCTGCAGTTGGGTCCTCCTCCAATGAAGACCACTCGGCCCTGCTTTGCTGCCGTGCAGAGAGCTCCATACAGCTCGGGTTGGAGCATGTCGTGGTTCCCTTTTGGTCCCGATCGTAGGATGTCTACCGCCACCACCATGCTGGAAAGGTGTGGGTAGTTGGCATGAAGACAGCTGTCCAAGGAAGTTGGGTCTTCCTTGCCTGCATAGAGCAGGACAATAATGGGCCCACTGGATGGAACTTTGGGTGATGTGCCCTGTGTCCATCTCAGCCGCTGTACCAAACGCTCCGGGATGTTCTCCATCCACGGGAAGGTGTCCCATCCCGGCGACGGCTCCGTGGGACTTGTCAGGGGCTGATAAGGCCCGGGGGGGCGAGAGGGGGCGCAAACGCCCCAAGCAGGCACATGAGCCCCCTCCTGCAGGTGCCGAGGGCCCTGACACAGGGGGGGGACAGGCCAGGTGGCGGCCATCCTCGGCGGAACAAGGATGGGGACGGCAGAACCAGCGTGCACAACACCCTCGCTGGGGTCAGAACAACCACACAGCGGGCACAACGGCGGCGCCTCAGCCCCGTGCCACGGGTGCCGAGGGCCCTGAAACGGCAGGGACGGCCAAGAACCCTGACACGGGGGGCCGCGCCCAGCAGGCCCGATTGCCGGATAACTGGCAGCACACCGCAACGCCAAGGATCACGCCCAGGAGGCAGCCGATCCCACTTCCGGCGCCCAACATCATCAAGCAGGACCCGGTGGTTTTTTATAAGAGCTCGGTTGGGCTGAATGAAGGGGGCCAGCGCCTTTCAGCTGGCCCTCGGCACCTGAGGCCTCCCGGGGGGTCGGGGTCAGCGCCCCTAGTCAACCCGGGCAGTCCTGCGGGAGGTGGTCTCCCAGGCAGATGCGGCCCGTTGCCAGGATGAGGTTGCACTTGTGGGTGCGTCCGCAGTTGCCCGGGCAGCGCCCGCGCATCCAGTTGTTACAGAACTGGTTCCCTTTCGGATCGGTGGCCGCCTGCTTGTTACCGCCCCTGGACGCCTGATTGTTCGGCTGGGGGGGCTTACCTTTCCCTTTGCTCCCAGGCTTGCCCCTAGACTTCCCCTTGCCCTTGGAC